TAGGAGGTATCAGAAGCAGTCAGAAGCCAAGAGAAGATCTGATGGTGGTCAGAAGTCAGAAACCTCAACCTCTGATAGAGAAAAGAATGCTCAGAAGGGAAAAGAGAAGTATGACAAGAAGAAGATCCAATGTTACTGTTGTAAGAAGTTTGGTCACTTTGCTAGAGATTGTTGGTCAAACAAGGAGAAGAAATCAGAAGAAGCAAATATAGCCAGAAGTTCTGATGACGAATCTGTGCTATTGATGGCCTCTAAATCTGATGATCTGACAGACTGGTGGTATATGGACACTGGCTGTTCAAATCATCTTACTGGAAACAAGAAATGGCTGGTTGACTTTGACTCTGAAAAGAGAACAAAGATCAGATGTGCTGATGACAAATATCTTAATGCAGAAGGTATGGGAAATGTCAGAGTGACTCTGAACAATGGAAAAATAGCATTGATTCAGAATGTGTGGTATGTACCTGGCATCAGAAGCAATCTGATGAGTGTGGGACAATTAATTGAGAAAGGTTTCTCAGTTACCATGAAGGACAATCTTCTGAAGCTGTATGACTGTAATCAGAAGTTGATTATGGAGTCAGAACAGGGAAGGAATAGAACATTCAAGGTGAATGTCAGAACTGCAGACTCAGAGTGTCTTAGTGCAATAAGTACTGAGAAGGAGAGTGAGCTGTGGCACAGAAGATTTGGTCATTTGAATTTCAGAAGCTTACAACATCTGAATTCAAAGAAATTGGTACATGGAATTCCTGCAATTAAGAAGCCTGAAAAGTCATGCAAAGTTTGCATGGAAGGAAAACAACCAAGATTGCCATTTGCATCAGAAGTTGCTCCAAGAGCAAAACATGCCTTGGGAGTTGTACACTCTGATGTGTGTGGTCCATTTCCAGTAGCATCAATTGGAGGGAATAAATACTTTGTGTTGTTTGTTGATGAATTCACAAGAATGACATGGGTATCCCTTATTAAGTTCAAACACGAGGTGTTTGATGAATTCAAGAAGTTCAGAATGAAGGCTGAGAATCAGAGTGGTCAGAAGTTGAAGATTCTTAGAACTGATGGTGGAGGTGAGTATAACTCCAAAGAGTTCCAGAAGTTCTGTGAGGAGAATGGAATTGAGCATGAGGTTACTGCTCCTTATACCCCTCAACACAATGGTCTTGCTGAAAGAAGAAACCGTACTTTGCTTGATATGGTGAGAAGCATGCTAAAGGAGAAGAAGCTTCCTCAGAAGCTCTAGGGAGAAGCTGTTGCCACTGCAACGTATGTACTCAACAGATGTCCTACGAAGAAGTTGAAGGAAATAGTTCCTATGCAGAAGTGGACTGGAGACAAGCAAAGTGTTAGTCATCTGAAGGTATTTGGTTCTGTTTGCTATAAACATGTTCCAGAAGTCAGAAGACAGAAGCTGGATGATAGAAGCAAAGTGATGATTCTGATAGGGTACCACAGTACAGGTGCATACAAGCTCTATTGTCCAGAAACCAATAAAATTGAATTCAGCAGAGATGTGATTGTGAAGGAATCAGAAGTTTGGAATTGGGATAAGTCTCAATCTGATTCTGATGTTAGAACCTCTGAAGAAAGGCCAGAGTTAAGAATTTCTGAAGTTGAAGTAAACCCTGATATTGACTCTGACTCTGATACTGATTCAAACTCTGAAGAAGACTCAGAAGATGAAGGTGACCCAGATGACCCAGACTCTGATGATTCAGACTCTGATGGCAATCCAGATCTTGGTGGCAATTCAGACTCTGGAAATATGCCAGACTCTGAAGATGGTCAAAGCTCTGGAGGTCAATCATCTGAAGCTAGAAACTCTGAAGCTCAAGACTCTGAACAAGTTCAGAGACCACAAAGAATCAGAAGCGTTCCCAGAAGATTTGCAGAATTTGACATGCTGCAAGACACTGAAGTAGACTCTGAAGGAGAAGTTATTCAGTGTGCCATGTTAGTAGACTCTGAACCTATAAGTACAGAGGAGGCTCTTAAGCAGAAGCTCTGGCTGAAGGCCATGAAAGAAGAACTTGATGCTATAGAGAGAAACAAGACTTGGAAGCTGACAGAACTTCCAAAAGACAAGAAAGCCATCAGCGTCAGATGGGTTTTCAAGCAGAAGTTAAAGCCAGATGGCTCAATTGGCAAACATAAAGCAAGGTTGGTAGCCAGAGGATTTCTACAGAAACCTGGGCTGGATTATTCTGAAGTGTTTGCACCTGTAGCAAGACATGAAACAATCAGAATGGTGATTGCAATAGCTGCTAACAGGAATTGGCCTCTGATGCATTTAGATGTAAAATCTGCATTTCTGAATGGTCCATTAGAAGAAGAAGTTTATGTGTCACAACCCCCTGGATTTGTGAAAAAGAATCAGGAAGGGATGGTGTACAAATTATACAAAGCTCTATATGGACTGAAACAAGCGCCCAGAGTTTGGAATCAGAAGATTGATTCATTTTTCAAGAAGCAAGGCTTTCAGAAATGTGAGATGGAGTACGGTGTCTATGTTCAGCATACTCCTGAAGGCAATATGACTCTGGTATGTTTATATGTTGATGATATACTGCTGACTGGATGTTCTGAACAGGAGATAGCCAAGTTCAAGAAGGTTCTAATGAATGAATTTGAAATGACTGATCTAGGCAAAATGACATACTTTCTAGGGATGGAGTTCAGATATTCTGAGAAAGGTATCATTTTGCATCAGCTCAAGTATGAATTAGAACTTCTGAAGAGATTTGATCTGAAGAATTGTAAGATGGCTGTCACACCTTCTGATACAAATCAGAAACTGGATTCAGACTCTGAAGGAAAGGATGTGGATGCTACAACCTTCAAATAGTTGGTTGGTTCTCTGAGGTATCTGTGCAATACCAGACCTGATATTTGCTACTCAGTTGGGATGGTTAGTAGGTTCATGAGTAAACCTAAGTGGTCCCATTACCAAGCTGCTGTCAGAATTCTGAGGTATATCAAAGGAACTCTGAAGTATGGAGTGTTATTTCCCTCTGGAGGAAATAATGAGTCAGAACTTCTGAGTTATTCAGACTCGGATTGGTGTGGAGACAGAGTTGACAGAAGAAGTACATCTGGGTACTTGTTCAAATTTCTGGGAGGTCCCATTTCTTGGTGTTCCAAGAAACAACCTGTTGTGGCGTTGTCAACCTGTGAAGCTGAATACATTGCAGGTGCTGTTACTACATGCCAAGCTGTGTGGATTCTGAATCTGTTGCAGGATCTGAAGATTAAGGTAGACAAACCTCTGAAGTTGATGATTGACAACAAGTCTGCAATCAACCTTGCTAGAAACCCAGTGCTGCATGGGAGAAGCAAGCATATTGAGACCAAGTATCATTTTCTGAGACATCAAGTTCAGAGTGGAGTGTTAGAAGTTGTACACTGCAGCACTCAGAAGCAGTTGGCAGATGTTCTGACGAAAGCTATCAAGACTGATCAATTTCTCAGATTAAGGGATGGAATTGGTGTTACAAGTTTTGATGGAATATGAATTAAGGGATGGTATTAGTAATAATTCATATTTTATTATATTATTTTCTTAAGCCCATAAGTTTGTTAGAGGGCATTTCAGTATTTTATCTTATTCTAGTAACCCTAGTTTTAGCCTATAAATAGGGTGACAATCATTGTAACTCTTAATCATGTTTCTTCTGCCGTTATTCCCTTTAATAGAATATTTCCCTATTTTCATCATTTATTCTATCTTTGCACCAACAATAATCTTTGAGTTTACACCAACAAGGGAGAGCAAGAGTTTAAAGGTGTAGCATAAAATTTCAGCTATGCACAAAGAAAACCTTGGATTACACATTGAGTTTGAGTGATTCATATATTGAGAGTTTGAGAGGTTGGGAAACACTTGGTAGAAAATAGGATTGTTCTTAAAAATTTGAAGGCAAATGCTATTTTCTTATAACTCATATGTAATCTCTTTAACAACTTTTTAACAATGTTTTGAGCATAGTGAATTGGAAAGCTGCTCTCTTCTCCAGAGTAGATCGTTTAATCGAACTAGGTAAAAAAACCTTCGGTTTTTTCTTTTCTTATTCTGTTATATTATCTGTATACGGATTATTATTGCTAAAGACAATTTATTTTAGTTGTTATTGTTCTTTACCTCACAAATTGATATTAAATTCTGTCGTAATTCACAACAAGATTCAAATTAAAAATGGCAGTTCGATCATTTCTTCTCATCTAAATTGTCTGATATTAAAAACAACAACAACATCAAACCACAATTATGGTGTGAATTAAAATCACATTAAAAATCATATCAGACAATTTCAACCACATTCGTTCATTTCTTCTCATCTAAATTGAAAATTTTAGAACAACAAATTTTAATTATTTTTTAAATATAATGAAAAGTCTTAACTTTAAGACTATATTTGATTGATGGATTAGAACAAAACATAATGAAACATGATGGAATAAAGTGGTACAGAGCGAAATAGAACAAAATTCTCATTATATTGTTTGTGTATTTTTTATATTGTGACATAATGAAATAGAACAAATTATTTTATTCTATTTCATACACAACAAATAAAAGAAATGAAAATTGAAGGATTAATAGATGAAATAAGATAGAATGAAGTTTATCATGTTTTATTTTGCACCATTTATTATTTACAAATTCAAACAATAGAATATTATTATAACAACACCGTTTTATTTCATTTTATTTCATTTCATAGGATCTCGTCATTTTAAACAATGGTTTCATCATAAAGCATTCAATTAGCATAAGAGTTACAAGATTGAAGAGTTTTCACATAACCATAGATGAATCAAAGTTGATTATTATATTTATTTAATTTGAATAACTCTTGTAAGAGGACTCAAAGAATAAGGAACATACAAGTGCATTTTCAACACTCAATCAACATAGACATTATCAAACAGAAAAACATCCCCAACTTGTGAACTTGTTACAATCCAATTACGAATCATCTTCATCCGGTTTCAATTCTTCATTGTTCCTGCACCATAAACATGTTTGCATTGAACTTGTTCAGAACCTGGCTTATAATTAATACTATGTGAAATTACCATTCATTTATTGAAGATCTTTTAAACCCTAACATACCTTCTCGTCAACTTTGACATCTTTTTCTTCAACTTCAGAGGTGGAAGCATTTGTCTCATTTGGTTTTTCTTCATTGGCCACACTCTCTTCCTTAACAGTTTCCTTGGTTTCTTCCTTCTTGGTCAAATTATCCTCCTGGTTTGTGTCTTTGGTTTCTTCTTCAACTTCCTTGACCAAAGTTTCTTCCTGTTCTGTAGCTTTTGTTTCTTTTTCATCTTCCTTGACCAAAGTTTCTTCCTGTTGTGTAGCTTTTGTTTCTTTTTCATCTTCCTTGACCAATGTTTCTTCCTGTTTCTTAGCTTTTGTTTCTTCTTCAACCTCATTCACCAAAGCCTCTACCTCTATACACATACACATATCAAATTAAATTTTAAAATGAACAATTAAAAAGAAACATCATGGTAACAAAAAAAATTAATTTCTCACCTTTTTGGTTCTCTGTGGTGGATTTTTCTTCATCTTTCTCATCTGCAGCAACAATTTCCGGTGTCTTATTTTCGACAACAACAGCTTCATTCTTCTTCTCCAATCCATTGTCTTCTTGCTGAACTTTTGTCGTCTCATTAGAATCCACAGCAACAACATCTGATTTATCAGCAACAACCTTTTCAACATTCTCATTGTCAACATTGTTGTTGTCTACGGCTTTCTTCTGAACAGTTTCCGTTTCCGCACCATTTTCCTTGACAACCTTGGAATCATCGACAATTGGTTTCTGGCTCTTGGGGATGGTGTTTCCGGGAGCAACGTCGTCGAGTTTAGATTTTCCACAACCCATTTGTGCGCGTGTTTGAATATGAATAAATGAATGATAGAAAACACGCGCACAAAGAGAAGAGAAAAAGAGAGAGATTGAAAGATGAAATGTGTTTGTATGAATGCGTGGAGAATGAAGTATATGAATGGGAGGGAGAGGAGAGGAATGGTTTGTGCTGTTATGGTTTTAGCGGTAGAGGTAAGGCCTGCAACAGGAGACGGGTGGAATGAAAAGGAAGAGTGCGTCTTTTACGTTGTTTTGTATACTTGTGATCATCGAAATACCAAAGGATTAGTAATAAATAGACAAAACACGTTTGTTTGTTTTATACTAAACTTTTCTATTTTTTTAATATGGACGGTTGGTTGGACTTTTGTCGTTACAAATTAAGTGTCTGAAAATAAATAAATAAATAATACTTATTTCCCTTAAAATGAAATATAAATAAAACATGTCTGAAAAGTTGATCTATACACAGAATGCATCAACTTTTGATATACCACTTTTGTTATAATGGTCAAAAAAATTAGTCAAATGTTTGAATTGCATCAATTTGATAGTTACTAATATTTACATGAATATCAAGTTTGAATTGTAATAATGAATGAGAAAGAAATTTTTATTTTTATTTTATTTTTTAAATAATAAATTTTTTGATTGATTGTATTTAGAATTTGGTGTTATGTTTGTAGCTATCTAAATATTTTTTGTATTAAGATATCTCCAACTGTTTCTAATGAACCATGGAAGAAAAATAGCAGTCAAATCATACTATGTTGTTAATAAATTTAAAAGACCTATTTTGAATAATTTAATAAAAATGGAAATTTTTTAATTTTTGGTAAATATAAATCCTTTTCTAATTTATAAAATTTCCATATAATTAATTTTTAAATTAATTTCCAAACGTTCTAGAAAAGTATAAATATTAGTATAATAGTTTTGTCAAATATAGTAATTTAGTTTACAAATAAGGACGAATTAAAAGTAAATTAGGCGAAATATCTTAGGGCCATATTAAAGTCGTCTACGATATGATTTAATGTTCTTTTGGTTATTTATTTTATATATAAAAAAATCATCAAATAATATTACTCAATTTATTATACTTTGTTATACTATATATCAACATAAAATATTTATATTAATAGAAAGTATACTTTAAAAATATATTATTATTCACAAAAATATATTTAAATATGAAAACCTATAATTTTTGCTTTAAAATAAAAATGTTTTTTTTAATAGAAATATACTTCAACATAATATTTATATGTATGCATTCTCAAAAATAAGAGTTAAAGAAGGATGAAAGTTATTAATCATTTAGTAATTTTTAGCGCTAAAATAAAGGATATTTTTGTCTTTCAATTTTATATTTATTTATTTATTTGCTTATTTATTATTATTTATCTCATTATCTCATTTAATTGTTAAGTTATTATTATTTCTTTGATATTTATCCTACTAACTAATAATCTTATATATAAAAAATAATTTTTAATCATTATCTCCAATTTAACCTTATATATAAAATTTGTTAAGCCACTTATAATTTTTGGAGCCAGAAGATATTTTTATAATTTTCTATTCTATATTCATTTATTTATTTACTTATTTATTATTATTTATCCTATTATTTTATTCAATTGTTAAATTATTATTTCTTTGATATTTATCCTATTAACTAATAATTTTTCATATAAAAAATAATTTTTAATCATTATCTCCAATTTTATTATTATTATTATTATTATTATTATTATTATTATTTAATCTCATCGTATCAGAAAGGAATCAGTAGTCTGTCACGTGTCGTGAGCTGCTGCGTTCACCGGTGTTGTAAAGGAGGAGAGAATGTACCTACAAGGTACTCCAATGCGTAAGTGAGTAACGGAGTTTTAGAAAGAGTAAGTATAGAGAGAATAGGTGTAGAGAATAAATATCTGACCCTCTAGTGAAAGATGGTATTTATAATGTGCCCCAGCGTAGGGCCAAAAGTTACATTGTATTGTGCCAAATCGCCAAACCCAACACAAGTAACTGTCAAGGCTTACGTGGCGTAGAGAATAACAACACGTGTTATTTGCCTTGGATCAACTGTGCCGTGATCTTCAGAAGATGGGTTGATCATCTCTTTCGGAGGTGGGTAGTTGTTTGATGGTGTGTCCCCACGCGGGGAACACGTGGAGAACGTGAAAAAACGCGTAGGCTCCCCTCGTGCCAATTTGGTCTGCTCGACTGAGAGGCCTTGTATAGAGGTGTGCCCGACATGAGAGGATTGAGCCTTGCTGGATCTCCCCAACACAACATTGGGTTGGGCCTGCCCGGCTGAGGGGCAGGTCTCGACCCAATTTTATTATTATTCCACTGTCTCCAATTTTATTATTATTATTATTATTATTATTATTATTATTATTATTATTATTATTATTATTATTATTATTATTATTATTATTATTATTATTATTATTCCACTATCTCATTTAATTATTAAACTATTATTTCCTTGATAATTATCCCACTAACTAATAATTTTGCATATAAAAGTAAATTTTAATCGTTATCACCAAAATAATACTTATTATTTTTATTATTAATTATTTTAACTCTACATTTTATGAAACCGCTACTAGCAAACTTTTTTTTTATTAAACATTATTTATTTTATTTTCTTTTTATAAAATTTCCTAACTCACCCATTAAAATTAATTAATTGATTGAAAATGACTTAAAAAAAAAGGACATATTGGTTTTTTTTATAAGATTTTCTAACTCACACATTTAAATAAATTGTGGAAGGATGGATTATAATTTCACCTAAACTCTTAGGGTAAGTCTTTCTATTTTTATTTTACATATCATAACTCATTTTCAATGTCTTGTAGTTTGGTGAAATCTTCACCGGAAGTCTTTTACAAATTGTTTCGGCTTTTTGAAAAGTTAATGCACTTGAACTCTTTCAAAACGTGTTTCAGTTTAATTTTTAAAAAAATTGATGTGTTTTTTGTTGTTGACAGTTTGACAATGGCGCGAACACGAGGTAGAGACAGTAAGATTTCAGAGCGTGGTTTATGACGGATTGCTCCATCGACATTGGTAGGCGAGGAAGAGGTTATTGATGCATCTACATCCGCACCACAACCAATTGGCTTTCCAAGAGGGTCGTATAATATGTCTCTTCTAGTAAAGTATGAACATCATGTTGCTAGACCTTTATGGTTCAGTGAGGTGAGTAAATGATATTTATTCTATATTGATTCATATTTAAATTTTTAGCCAAGTGATTTGAAAGATTTTATCTTTCCACCCTCTCTTTAGAATTAGGTAGAAATTTAGTTCTTAAATTGTATGAAAAAAAGATTAAGTTTGGGGTTGCTCTTGAAAGTGAGCAAAGTTTTAAATTTAGGGTTGAGGTACTAGAAAAAAATGGTTAAAATTTCAAAATGATGAGAAAATAAGAAGTTGGAAAAATGAACTTCTTTAAAAAAAAGAGATTAAGAGAATGGAAAATGCATAATAAGGACCACAATAGTAAATATCTCTAGTACCACGAAGAATGAACAAGTGGGTATTATAAAAGAAAGAGAATTAGGCACCTAACTCCAAAGGTTTAAACCTATTTTTCTCAAAAATATCCTACTCAGACATAAGGCAAGATACAACGGAAAAAGCCCTAAAATGTGTGTTTTGATTTCTTTGATAAATTATATTAGAACATGATCAAACTCAATATAAAGTATTTTGCATGTTGTTTGAGAAACTATCCTGTCAATTAAGTGAGTCAATGTGAGATGAAAGGCATGTTGAGTACTTGTCAAAGTATGAAGATGTTTTTTGAATTTGATGGATAGAAGTTGGAAGCTATAATGATGATTAGGTAAAGAAAAATTTATACAATGATGTTCAATTGTTATTGTGCAACTTGTTTTCTGTTTGGAATTGACAGTGCAGACAAGTTACATGAGGACAAGCAACGATTCAAGTTACTTGACTAAGTATGAAAAATAAGGACCTAGTGAAAATCAGGTGAAAAAGGAAGTAAAAGCGCGCAACTACTGAAATAATCACGCGCAACATTGAGCACACAATAGGAAAGATAAAGTCAACACCGTGTGCGCGATGCAAGTTATCACGCGCGAAATGATGCCTTTTCTGGGATTTTTCTGATGTGTTTTGATTTATTCTGAAGGCTTTAGAAGGGGAAATTTGGTATTTTTTCAAGGGTTCTGAAACTTTACACGTGAACGAAGGATTTACAGCACCAAATGGCATATTTGGATAGCATTTTAAGTCATTGGAGGTCAATTCTTCAAGGGATTTCTTATGCAACGATCTTATTTGTATTTGGTATTGTAATTTGCACTATGGGTAGCTAATTCTCTTTAGGTTAGGTTGTGTTTGATAAACCTATTTTAATACTGTTGAGATATATGTTTGATTTGATATTGCATGAATAATTTGATTTATAATTATATTCAATTGCACATTGTTCTTAATGCTTTTTATGTGAGATACTATTTTGATGTGATTTTGGGCACACATGAAATACTTACCATTAGTCTATTTGTTGGACCTATGGCAATTGTTGTGCTTACGCTGGTGGGTTAGGGATAGGGAACTCCGAGTAGTAGCTTAGGAATTAACATTCTATTGCTTTTCCTAATCTTCTTTACGTTGGTGGACTAGGGATAGAAAACTCAAAGTATAGATTAATGAGTTATACACCAAGGGATTGGGTATAACAGTTTTATTAATTCATCGTGGGATTATAGTGACTGTATCATTCATGTAATGCATCAAACATCAACGGTAGAGAAATAGGGGATTCTATACACAACCTGACGTCTTTTGTATTATCATCAAAACACTTTGTTTGGTTTTCGCAAGCAAAACTCAGACCCCCCCTCCAATTTAGTATTTTCTATGCATTGCACAATATTGTCTTGTTAAATAAAAGTTGTTGTAAATTCGATCTTGTTATTGTTGCGACATTATTGGTACACTTACCAAGAAGTCGTCACTATAGAAGGTTTATAGAAGGCTTTTCGAAAGTTTCTTTTCCTTTGACTCAGTTGACCCGAAAAGGGCAAGCTTATGTGTGGAGTGTTTTGTGAAGAAAGTTTCAAAGAGCTGGAGAAGAGGTTGATGACGATGCCAAATTCGATATTACCAGATGTGAAGGAATCTTTTGTTGTATATTGTGATGCATGTAAGATGGGGTTAGGTGGCGTGCTTATGAAAAATGGTCAAGTTGTAGCACATGCTTTGAGACAACTTATGATTAATGATATAAACGATCCTACCCATGATTTGAAGTTGGCATTGGTAGTTTTTATGCTTAAAGTGTGTATACATTATTTGTATGGTTCGAGGTTTGAAGTGTTCAGTGATCATAAAAGTTTGAAGTACATGTTTAATGAGTATGATATGAATATGAGGCATCGTAGATGGTTAGAATTTCTGAATAACTATGTTTTTGGGTTGAGTTACCATCCTGGTAAAGATAACGTGGTAACAGATGTATCGAGTAGAAAGTCTTTGCATATGTAGGTGCTTATGGTTAGAAAAACATATTTGATCGAGCAGTTTAGAGATCTTAGCTTGACATGTGAGATTATTCTAAGTAGTGTGAAGTTGGGTATGCTAAAGTTGATTAGTAGTGTGCTCGAAGAGATCAATGAAGGTCAGAAGTTGGACTTGGGATTGATTGACCAATTGATGCTAACCAATCAAGGTAAAGAGGCGAATTTCAAAGTATATGAGAATGAAATTATGAAATTTTAGGATGGACTTTCTAGAGCTTAAAAAGATAATTCTTGAAGAAAGCAACAAGAGTTGTTTGAGTATTCATCCCAGTTTGCGTATTCTTGTTCGACTTGTCAGAAGTTGAAGATCAAGCATCATAAGCCATTTGGACTGATGCATCCTTTGAGCATCCTTGAGTGGAAGTGGGATAATATCTCTATGGATTTTGTGGTGGGTTTGCCAAGGACTACGAAAGAAAGTGATTAAGTTTAGGTTTTTATGAATAGACTAACTAAGTTGGCTCATTTTATTCTGATAAAGAAGCTAAAAAGGTCATTGTTAGAATATAATGCATTAATCGTAACAAAATTGTATTGCTCATACCCTATTGCTTATGAAAAATGAGGGTGAAATGGAAGTTTAGATGGAAGAGGGCTCAACCTACATTAAGGCCCAAATCATGCATGAGAAACAGCACATTTAATAAATCCAAATTGGTTTTGTGGTTAAAACAAATAAAAAAAATTAGTAAACATGTGAACAAAATTTAGTAAACATATACAAAATTAGTAAACATGTGATCAGGTTTTATGAGTTGATCCAACTCATATACACCCCAATTTTAAAGTGGTTTAAGTTAATTTTTACTAAATAATTACATTTAAAGTGGTTTAAATTAGTTTTTACTAAATATAATAAATTAGTAGGAAAGTTAGTTTTTAAAAATTAATTTTAAAAAAAAAATATAATAAGTTAGTCGGAGAAAATTAGTTTTTTTAATTTAATTAAATAACAAATAAAGTAAAATAAAATAAATATAAAAAATGATTAAAATAACTTTAACTTCAGTGCCTAAATTCCTACCAATGACTTAACATTTTATATATATAGGATTATCACTATAATTCAAACCAATAAACATTTCTAATTATCCATAAATCATTGCACTAATAAAACAAATGCAAAGTCTGTATGAGATGAATCTTTTTATAAGACACGATATAATCGTATACTCACATTCATATCAACAACCCAAAACTACACCACTTGATTTAAAACAAGAGAACAAAAAGTTACATATATCAAACAATGCATATTGATGTATACATTCTCTCATTTCACATTATATTAGGGTTTCTTCCACATTTTAGTAAGATTATTGTCTTCTATTTCGAACTTGAATCTATACATTAGAATATAAATTCATCTTAATAGAACGTGTTTCACATTATATTAGGGTTTGTTCCACATTTTATTAAGATTATTGTCTTCTATTTCAAACTTAAATCTATCCAATTTACATATGAATTCATCTTAATAGAATGTATTGACATAGAAAGAGTATTTGACGTTAGGGTTTATACGAGTTTGATGTTGTATATTTTGACGAAATTTATATTTTTATAATATTTAGACTTTCAAAAGATATTTTTTTACAGTATTAGAGCATCATTATCCGTGCTTTTGTACTGTTTCTTCCCTTTTCTATGAACTTCAACGTCAAGATTAAATGGGTAATTGAAGATTAAAGCACGATTATAAAAATTGCTAATTTTTTACTACCGAAACATTATTTTTCATTTTAGATAAAAAAATAAACTAATTTATTTGTGAGATATAAAATGAATTTAATGAATCCTTTCAAAATGGCATAAATATTTAAAAAATGTAGATCCTATATATTTAGTTATTATTATTTATCATAATAACTATCTATTTTTGTTTTAATAAATATTACAAGAAGTGGAAATCCTGTTTTAAATTATAATTTTCATCCAAATCCACTAACTACATTTCATCCAAACCCACTAATCAACTAAGTCCTTAACACATTAATAGAAACTACTTTTTTCTTTGTTTATTTAATAAATAAATAACTCTTATAGGTTTTTATCCATAATCCTTATTATATTTGATTAATTCAAACCACAATTTGATGAGTATTCTTTTTTTGTAATTTATATTTGTATAAGGAAGAATAAAAAAATGACTATCCATAAAGATGTGGTTATTGATAATTATGTTTAAATTAATTTTTTAGGATTCGGCTATATAAATTATAACCTCATCATTAATATATAAAAAAATTCATTCATAAAACTACTCTCTCTTTCTAATGTCATTAAAAGGTTATTGTAGCAAAGTATTACATTGAAAATTAATATAAAAAGAAAAAAATCGTTAGTGGTTGTTTTAGCAAAGTAATACTATATTATTTTTTATAAGATACAAAGTATTAAAGCATTGTTATTTCTTTTTATAAAAACCCTAAATATAAAAGTTTTTTATAAAACTTCTCTAAACTATAATATTTATAAATAATAATAATTTAATAAAGCTTATCGTGCGATAGTCTAGTAAATTGTTTAAATAATTGAAAGTGTAAAAATATAAAAAATTTAATAAGATACAAAATAATTTCTTTGAATTGGGATGCCTTAGTACATTATAATTAAAATTTAATTAATTAAACGATGAATTGTCAAGGGAGAATCCAAGCCGTAGAAAATGGAAGACCACGCTAACGAGTGTTGCACCGAATCCACTCTCTCACACTCCATGTGTCGTAAACCCTGAGACGAGGCTTAAGCTTCTCCTTCTTCCTCAAATCTACCGAGTTCACCCGGAGGCGACACCTGAGTTCTAACTCGGTCCTTCTCAGATTAAACCATGCAAGCAGTATCAAGTTCTCGCCGAGTCTCCCGGCTCTTGAAATCTCCGATTTTCCTTTCATTTCATCTTCGAAGCACCGAACAACCGTTTCTCTCAGGGATTGCGCAACGCAATTACAGTTCCGGAGTTGATAATGTTGAAGAAACTCCAACAGGTTCTTCATTCATTTGTTAACTGTAAATGCCTTTTTCGAATTTCAATTTTGTGATGTTTATTGATTCGTATTTTTGAATTTTTGAATGTAGAAGCTGTGAAGGATCTTTATGATAAAATGCTTCAGTCTGTAAATGTTAAACGATCCATGCCTCCAAATGCTTGGCTATGGTCAATGATTGAGAATTGTAAACACCGTCACGATATTAGTCTTCTCTTTGACGTTTTGCAGAACCTCCGCAGATTCGTTAGTTTCTATACTTTTGCAGAATCTCTATCTATATATTGATTCAGTCTCTTTGCTATGGTGATGAGTTTAATTATTGTTTTGTGTGAGCAGAGGTTGTCGAATCTTCGCATACACGATGACTTTAACTGCAGTCTCTGCCGGGAAGTTACAAAAGCATGTGTTCATGCAGGAGCCCTTGATTTTGGTATGGTTTGTTTGTGTTTGCATTTTGTTATTTTTAATCTATGCTGTTTCATTTGTGAAATTTGAAGATATGAAATGGCATTTTAAGGTTATTTGATTTTAATGTGTGAGCAGGAAAGAAGGCTTTGTGGAAGCATAATGTCTATGGATTGGCGCCGAGTGTTGCTTCAGCCCACCATATATTGGTATTGTTTGACATTTGAATGTTTTAATTTCTTTGATTTGTCTCCTGTTTGCAATTGGTAAGTTACTGTTATTTTGTTGTAGACATATGCTAAGAATCACAATGATACTAATCTATTGGTGGAAGTAATGAAACTTTTGAATAGGAATGATTTACCATTGCAACCGGGCACGGCAGATATAGTTTTCAGGTATGTTATTATTTTTGCATTTTCATTAGTTTGTTTTGCAGTACAAAGGGTCTTCTGTGAATAAGATTTGAATATGGTGTTTACCTCTAAAAGCAGTTGCTGAACTTTTTGTTGATTTAATTGTTATTCCCTTTGCACTGGCTAGCATGCTTCATTTTCAAATCCTGCTCTGTTCGGTGTTGTTAAAAATCCGGTATATCGTCGGTATACCGGTATTGCGTATCGGAATTTTAGCTATCGGATACGAAAGCCATTCAGTTTTGCAATGCTCGCGATATCGGCGATTTTCCGGTATACTGGTATACCGGTTATGAATGGAATATTGGAAGTCATATTTTTATTATTATTTTTTTATAATAAATCATTTTTAAAAACATTAAAGAGGTGGAAAAGTAAAATTTAAGGAGGTGGAAACATTGAAAAAGGAAAATGTGGGCTATATACCTGTTCATTCTTCCTCTTCTTTCATTCTGAGTCGGTGCCTAGTATTATATATACTTACCTGTTTATTCGTCTTGTTAATTCATTCTTCGACGACTCTTCCTTCAATTCTTTGGCTGCTCTTCTTCATTTCTCCAAGCTTTTACACTTGAAGTTGTTGTTGGGAATGAAAGAGTATTTGAGGATGAGAATGATGAGACTGCCCTTAATTGGGATGATGTTTATAGAACTTCAGGAGTTTTGGAGAGCCTACAAGATATACTAGGCAAACAACTAAAAAGAGAAAAGTAACTCCCAACCCTAATGTTGTCGGCACTTCGTCTAAAACAAAGAAGTCGGCTGGTTCTTCTATCTAGGAAGGGAAAGCAACAAATGATTGAAGTGGAAGATTCTGTCATCGAAAAATCAAAAGTAGAATTTGAGGATGTTGATTCAGATGATTCAATTGAAGAAGCTGAAGGAGAATAGTTAAATCTTTTATCCTCAATATCTGAAAAGGAGAATAATGATTATGTTGGGGAAGGGGAAAAGGAGAATAATGATTATGTTGGGGAAGGGGAAAAGGAGAATAGTTAAATCTTTTATCATTAATTAGATTTAGAAGAACTACTAGTTATTAGTTTGAACTATTTAACTTTTTGAGTTTTAATTCCTTTTAAATTTCTGTTTGTAGCTTTTCTGTTTTAGTTATTGGATTTCAAATTTTCAACTTTTTGAGTTTTCATTTCTGTTTTAACCGCTCCGCGGCTTCCAATATTTGCCTACTATGCGATCCGATATTTCTCATATCGGTTTTTTGGCGATCTGATATTTTCCGATATTGATATTTGACAACACTGCCTCTGTTGTTAGTTCCCCGAAGCTCTATTTGATTGTATGTAGGCAATTTGGTGCCTCTTTGTGTGTTAGGCTACAAGCCTATAATGCAGTTAGTTTGCTTGATTTTCTTAGCTTGCAAAATGCTTAGATGAGTTGTAATGTAACATGTATTCGGTACCCAAAAAACCCACTCTTTGAATCTTAAAGTAGAGCAAATCACGATTAAAAAGAATGAACAATCTAGCCTTTTTTTTATGCATCTAAAGGTTTATTTTAGTATTTTCTAACACTAAACAAATTATGAATTTCACATTTTCTTGTTATTCTGCTTTTGTTCTCTTAAGTATGTTTTTCTGACTTGTTACCTGGGTCAATCATTTGCAGCATCTGTCACAATACAGATGAATGGGAGTTGATTAATAAGTACGCGAAAAGGTTTGTTAAGGCTGGTGTAAAACTACGACAAACCTCATTTGAAACATGGATGAGATTTGCTGCCAAAAGAGGTGCTCATACTTGATGTCTTTTATCAGCCTAATTCTATAAGCTTCTATTGAACTTAAACAGAAGTTTGTTAAAAGAGGATTCATATTCTTAAATTGAACACTAAATTATCCATAAAACTATGGAGATAATAATTTGCCTAGTATTTACTGGCTTTTGGTTTTTCTTTCTCTCCGAACTTGCATCTTCCTCAATGTTGGCAAGCTGTGTTTTCTCAGCTTTTAGAAAATTGAAAGAACCCCAAAAGGTAGACTATAATCATATTCACAATGTTTTGAGTATAATTTCACATAAAACAATAAAACCAGATTTGTGAATTTGGTTATACTGTTGATCATTTTACACTCTTGCATTTTGGACCGAGGAATCATGCTAAGAAAAGAAAGATTACTTTGTGACTAATGTGCCTTGACTTGCTCGGTCTGTATCATTTTTGAAATAAGTTAGTTCAACTATATTAATAACTTCTTGACAAATTTGATGGCAATGAATACATATAGTACATCAGTAGTATCATGTGATTTCAAGACCATGCTATATATGATTTTTTGGGCTTTTAAAAATATTTTCTGCTTATGATGAACTAAGCGTGTATGCCTTTCATTTCCATGTTTGTAGGAGACACTGAGTCATTATGGAAAATAGAAAAGTTGAGATCTGATTCAATGAAGAAGCACACTTTGGCAACTGGGTTTTCTTGCGCCAAGGTAGCAAATCGATTCACACCTGTGTGTGTAGCTTATTGTGTGTTAGCTTTCAGCTTTGCTCAATCTTATACATAATTATTTTGCTTTTAAGACATGTTTGTATTCATCAATCTGTTCTTTAAAATGAGATCAATTGTTTTTTTGAAAGAAAAATAAAGGAAAAACATTTTTAGTTTTCCCAATTTGAGAATCCTTACCTAATATGATTTTGCGTCAAATATGTTCTCAATGCTGATATGTGTTTCGACTTCCCAGTGCTGATTGTGTTATAGCTGAGTTCCACTTTGATAGCAAGTCTAAGCACCTTTTTATGATTTTGCAGGGCCTTTTATTGGAACGTAAACCTAGTGATGCTGTTGCCATCATTCAAGTTCTAAATTTGGTATGAGTGTATGTTTTTTACTTCTTCTCTTATGTGATAAATTTCTTCACTAATGAGCGAAACAAAGAAATGCTTCTCAAATAGAAATAAAACAGCGCTAAATGAAATTGTAATGTTATTACCCTGGAAAGATTGGTCAAAGTACAAATCAGTTTTTATATTAGAATAATTTTGGAATTGTGGCAAAAGTTATATAGCTTTTTGTATTGATACTTCAGTTCAGAGTCGAATTAGTCCCACATCAATTGCTGAGGATGAAATTATAGCTATATCATTGATTGCATTTGTTAGAACACTTTCTTGGTAATGATATGATACGAATGAGTGTTAGTAAGTAAACTGAGTATATCATATACGTCCCTGGATAGTCTTGTTTAACTCTTTGGTTTATTGATTTCATTGTCACTAGACTTTGTCTGATGCCAAAAAGTCAGGCATGAAGGATGAACTTCAGAAACTTGTATCTGAGTGGCCTTTGGAAGTTCTTAAGTACAAAAAAGAAGAGGAAAGAAAGGTACACTGTCTTAGTTGCAAAGAAATTTCTGTGTTCTCATTTTAGTTCTATTGCATCTCTCTAAAGACAGTAACATGTTTTTTCTTCTTTACTGACAGACATTAGCAGCCTCTTTGAAATCTGATATCCTTGACATGGTTAATAATTTGGACACGGGACTTGAGGCTAACATAAGTTTGGAAGACCTAAACCAAAGAGAGAGCATTCCACAATAGCATGGGTTCAAGATTTGATGACTTGAGGTTTTAGATTATGCTTGTTTGAGGAGTGTCTCTTTATCAAAGATGCTGCACATCCTTAGTTAGATACAAAGTCTCTGCTCATAGCAAATGTTGATTACTAAATGGAATATGATTATTACTTTTTTGCTTCCGTTTTTCTCACCAAGTGCTCAAGGTTTTGGTAGCATATAGGTTACATTTAGCATGTTTTTCAAGAACTGAAATCTAGATGCCAGTGTGTGTGAACAAAAATAATGTGGCATCTGCTTCTAGCCTTCTACTATAAGGGGCAAGCAATTCATTTCTACCAATACAAGTGAGGGTACAATCTTGTTCTTGTAACCTCGTTGGCTTTATGTAACGATCACATAAATTTTTATTAATTTATTTTCATGAACTTAACATTATAAGTTAGGATTTAATTCATATATACTGCCGCTATAAATAATTTTTATATTGAGTCAATCAGAGTTGTTAAATCGTAAGAGATGATTGACTTTGATTATAGTTATCTTTTAAAGTCATGTCTATAAATGAATGTGATGTATTATTAGTGTAAATTCTATAACTCGTAAAAAAAACTTTTAGAGTTTATCTTTATTTAGTACTCCTTCTGTTTCAAATTATCTTTAGAATGATTTAGACATTTTACACTAAAGACAAATTATGTAAGGTAATGTCTTTTACTATTTTATAGGAAAGTGAAATTAAAAAAAAGTTGAAAGAATAAATAATAATAAATATTTGAGAGAAAATTAGACAAAAGTATCATTACTATTATATTAAAAATGAAAATGTTATTAATATTGTATTGAAGTGATTTATAATTTAATAACAATTTTTTTTAATAGCAAAAGAGACTTATAATTTAAGACAAAAGAAGTAATTATTTAGTTATTTTTAAAAGGTAAAAACTATCACATACTAATAAGCACTTAATGAACATATACACCTCGTTGAAAGAGAGAATGTCAAACTTTTTAGTTTTGTGATCTTCTGTGATATCAATAGGAAAATCCGACCGAGAATTTTATAATTGGCTGGAATAATATGTCACACTTTATATCCTTATGATTGAATTTCATATTTTCAAAATTTTTACACACAAATTAAAAAATATAATAATATTGTTATAAAATAATATATTTTTATTAAATTAATTTTATTAATATTTTAAAAATAGTGTACAAATTATAATTACGGAATAAAATTGAAAAAATAATATTATTTTAAATTAAATAGTGAGAAATACATCTATTTTAAAACAGATATCTTTTTCCCCATAAGTTTGGTTGGTTTTCTATCATTAATAGGAATAATTTAGTCTCTGTTTTAATTATTTAACTGAGAAGGTATTTTCCTAATATTACTTATTGGTACGAAAGAGCCTCCCAAGAAATGCAAGAATAAAATTCTATAAAAAGAAATGCCAGAATAATAGGTAGAAGGAAATAGTACTTTACTATTTTATATGACTCAAATTTCCACACCTAAAACTTGAAAACATATGCCCTGTCCAAAATTTTCTGCATTCATGAGATGTTATGGCTATGTCTATTGAGGTCCGTCCATCCCATCCCATCCCACTGCATGCAATGATTGGGATAATGTGGCACGTCTTTCTTCTTTGTCTAATCAAAAGCAATCAAAATTGGTCTCCTAATTCTGGACCAAGACCAATAAAATCAATAAAAACCATTTCAACACCAGTTAATTTGTTTGCTCAAAACATTCATCACTATCAATATCCATACACATGTATACCAAATATCACTATATGATCCATGCCACTTGGTGTAAACCCATCACACCATTCATGGTCCTAAATTTCCAATATCAATCACATAAACCGGTTACTAAACAAACAAAATGTAAAACTAATAACTCATCAATTCAACTTACAAACTCATAATCTCTCTCTTAATCTTCTCAACACGACCAGCATTTCCATGATCATGACCATTCTGAACCAACGCCGTAATCGCCAATCTCAAATTCCCATCATTAACAGAAACATTAGCCGCTAAAATCTCAGTTTGATTATTAAAAAACACCTCCAAAATCACAGTAACCAAACCCGGTTTAGCCACCGATTCAATCCCAAAGAAAGCCACATTGTTAGAAACCGTAACAGAAACAGAGCAATTTCTGTTCCGACACGGAACCAACAAATTCAAACTCCCTTCAACCTTCGATTCCTTAATCTCCTCTAACATTTTCTTCTTGCTCTCAAGTTCCTTAATATACCCGATTGTTTCATTAATAATCACTTCCCTAGTAGCCTTAAAAAACACAAACACAAAAACCCATTTCAGATATTTGCATTTACTTTAACATTGAAAAACCGAAAGAATACGAAGAAAAGGAACGAATGAATGAATGATCTTAACTGTTGGAAAGAGAGCAGGAACAGTGGAAGCAAGGTGATTAAACATTTGAGCCATTTTCTTCCTTCGTTCACGTTCAACTTTAAGAACTTCTTCAGGTTTTGTAGTAGCACCCATTTTTGTGTTACCCATTTCTGAAGCAATGCTTGTTGAAAAACGTGAAGGGTTTTCCATGACTACGGAAAATGATGGATTAATAACAAACTCATGGTTTATATACAAAACGGTTTTGCAATTTTCTGAATTGCAAAGGAAGGTGAAAAATAGTTAGTGAGGTTTGTTTGGGGTCAAAAACGGTTAGGAGTAGGCATAATAGTAATTTTGCAGGAGAAGAATAAAATAAAAAAAAGATATGATTCTTAGAATGATTACATAATAATAACCGTATTTGTAAGAAAAAGAGGACTGTGACTAAAATAACCTTCTTATTTGTTGCACAAGGAATAAGTTGGACCCCACACAATGAATAAAAAAGTGAAAGAAAAAGGTGAGTTTGTTTTGGAATTAGTAGAAGCCAAAGGATGTAAATGCTTGAATATAAAATGAGAGTGAATTTAAATCTACTTAAATTTAGAGAAAGATTTAAAATGAAATGTAAATGCCAGTAGAATTATAAAGCTATAAAAGAAATAAAGAATTTGAAATGTAAATGTAAATGAAAATAAAAAGACTCAATCTAAATTAAATTAGTGAATTGAAAAGAAACACGGATGTTGTTCAAAGAGAAAATTTTGAAATTTTAAAAGAATTTAAAGAAATTGGAAGACATGCTTAGATTTTTTTTTTGTCAGCTTAAGTTCAATTTTACTTTTGGAGTATAATTTAAAAAACTTCTTGATGTCATTTGTCTACATTATTCACGTTGTTTGATCATCAATTTTTACTTATGGACTTTGTTAGTTTAAGTACTATTTAGTGACTACTAATTTACAGAACGAATAAACTAGTAAATGTAGAGACCAATTTAACAATTTATATATTTAAAATCAGGTTAATTTTCTTTTTTCAACCATTTATACAAGCACTTATTGTTCTCCATTTTGTTACAATTTCAACTCTGAAATATAAATGTTCTGGACTAGGTCTGGAGTTGGCCCACCGTTGAACACACTTCAGTCCAGTTCCGCGTCGAAAAAGGTTCAACACAAAGGTCCAATTTATTGTAGCCGCCGGAGAACACATTTCCCACGTGCTCACCACCCGAGGACACGTAGCCAACTAACCCCGCTCACCTCGCGAAAACGTTCTGCCCTTCGTGACGGGCAAGTCTTCCACTCTGAGGAATGCGGGACAGTTGACCCAGGATGATGAGTACGAGCTGCTCATCCCCATTTCCACGTAGAAATCTTGGCAGTCATCCATTATGGGTCTGATCACCCAACCCACAATGGAGACTGTTGGCCTTGTGCTGGGGGCTCTCTATAAATACCCTCTTTTGGAGGAGGGTCAAGTATTCAATTCACTTCTTAACTTCTGTATTTGCCTTCTTTCACTTTGAACTAACTTTAGCATCAGAGTGCCTTGCCGGTACACCCCCTATGTTTTCCTCACCTGACGTTGGAGACCACAACGTGTTGCTGGCCACCGATTCACTTCTGACCCCGATTTACAACTACCTCATGACAAGAGAGTTTCCCCCCGACCAGAAGGAGGCTAGCGTAACGAGACACCGAGCTTGCGCCTACGTTCTTATTGAGAACAAGCTATACAGAAGAGGATTCTCAATACCTCTCCTCAAGTGCGTCGATGTTCACCTGAATTTCCGGCGAACAACCTCTAGCCTCTTATTAAAGTTTACGTGCAGGATCGACTACAAGAATCCTAGACTATGTGTTAGTTATACAACGAGTGCTTGAGTGTTTTGATTTGAAATGGTAGAAATTGTTGAGATAATTCAATGAAAACAAATATGACAAAATTGCAAAGGGAAATGAATAGAAAACAAGACTTATGAAAAAAATTGCTTAAAGTGTAAATTGGACGCATGCATACATTTGCGAAGAATTGACTTGTTTCTCTCCAACGCTGATACTTTGAGTGTATTCTTCTCAGTGTAACAAAATGCGACCTTCTAAAAACTGAAACTAAAATCTACTTAAATAGGCATAGAAAATAACTTTTATTCTGCTGTCGACCATCCACAGCCTGCCACGCGTCCCCCCATGACGTTCTCGTCAGTTATGAATTTGCTTATTTGGCATGTCGTCGACCTATATTAGGAAGGCTATCCGTCAAAACTACTTCAACGTCCTTCTGACGGGTGGTCCGTCGAGACCTCTTTGACCATGGTCTGCAGGATCTCGCGTCGAACTTTCTTCGACCTCTTCGTTTGGAATGTCAAGCTTCCCTTCGACTTGCTTATCTTTCCTGGTCAAAATTTTCCAGCCATTAAATTTCCCCCTAAAAGGCCAGCTTCGACTGAGAACTGACGTTTTAACTCTTGCCAAATTTCGACTTTATGTTCACACTTTTGCTGATGTCACGCACAATGATGACAACTTTCTGCACCACGATTTCCAAGGAACACTCCATCATGATTTTGGCTACTCCCTAGGTCACAAGTTTCCAGCTACCCCTACTAAATTCCTCACTATAGTGGAACGAAACAGTTATAAAGCTGCCGCGACTGCCACTTGTCCATCATGATTGTTTGCTCCTTAGTGCCTATAAATACATCTTCCACCACTTTTCACTTCTCTTCTTCTTCTTCGCTCGTGCTTTTCTACAATTTCACCATCTTCTTTGCTCTCATTTCTTCCACAACTTCAGAAATAAGAAACTTACCATTTTCTCTTTCTCATTTCTTCACATTGCTATGGCTTCCATCACTCCCACTACTGGTAACAACCCTTTAGCTTTCACTCTTATTGAAGAAGAGGGTTTACAAACTATCCCTCAGCCACCATCAATTGATAAATCCATGGTGGAAAACTGGCAACAACAAATGGTAATCCCTTTTGTGGTGGATGACAAACTTTTGACCTTCCACGGGCCATATCCGAATGCAAAAACACACCCCAAAAAGGTACAAGAGTTTTTCCCTTGCTTCACTTCCGCCATTCCACCTACCTTCGAGAAAAATGGTTCCATCGACTTAAAATTCATAGATCCAAATGCTAGGGTTTTTCGGTCGATGCCTACCCTTGGCAACAAAGACTATCTGGCATGGCTCGATAGAGTTCAAAATAAACGTCATAAGCAATGATGAACTACTGGCATTTTCGACGCCATTCAGATCTCCAGACAAGCCCACAGGGTCAATCCTTGCATGCTTCATGCATCGATGTATTTTTGGGAAGGTTCGACTAACACCTTCTGATCAGCTTGTATTATTTACTGCATAACTTTTATCCGCTTGTATTATCTAACGCTTGTCTAATTGTGTATGCGAGGTCAGGCCTCAGCTAAATATTCTTTTGATACAGAACCAGAACGAGCATTACACGAAAGACGGAGATTAGCTAAAGTTAAAAGACTGGAAGAAATAGAGGAAATTATATCTGTGCAGAGCGACTCCGAAGAGAGAGAGACAACACCTGAAACTGTTCAAATGGCGGGAAATCCACCTCAGCCTGAAAGACTGCTAGGAGACTATGGAGGGGCCAATGCTCAACCAAACCGGATGACCATTGTGAATCAACCGGTGAATGTTGCGCATTTCAGCTACACCCTTCCACCATCCGTCAGTTGGAGAGCAAGTCGTTCGCCGAAAGAATCAACGAAGATGCAAATAAACATCTTCAGAGATTCCTTACAACCACCACCTCGCTGAAAATAGAAGGACATTCCGAAGAGGTCAAGAGATTGGTTATGTTCCCGTTCACACTCACTGATGATGCGGAAGAATGGTTTTACTCGCTTCCCGCTGGAAGTATCACAACATGGCAAGAGATGGAAACTGCGTTCCTGAATGAGTATTTCCCTGCCTCAGTGTTCATCCGAAAAAGATATGACATTGTCAACTTCAAGCAAAAAGAAGGAGAATCTTTAGGGGCTGCATATAAGCGGTTTAAGAGGTGTCTTACAGCATGTCCTACTCATAACATGGACGCCACTGAGCAGATGCAAAACTTTGTGAATGGATTACGACTCAAAACGAAACAGCTCATAAATACTGCTGCCGGTGGCTCAACCAACTTCTCAATGACCACAGGTATCAGAAGGATCATAGAAGCAATCACCGCTAACGAGCACCTTGAGTTGTATGATCGCACGGTTAACCAACCGGAAGGTAAGATTGATCTGAAGCTGGCAGACCAGGTTGTTAAAATGGAGGATCAGATCACCGCTGAGGTAGAGAGAAGGTTAAAGAAAATGAATGTTGAAACTCAGGTAGTGGCACAGGTTGAGCCAGTTCAAGCAGCACCTTGTGAAATATGCGGTGGACCACACTTTACAATGCATTGTGTAGCAACTCAAGAGCAAGTGGAACAGATTAATATGTTGAGGCAGAACAATCCCTACGCCAACACATATAATCCTGGTTGGAAAAATCACCCAAACTTTTCATGGAAAGATCAACAAGGAAATGTACAAAAACATGTTCAAGGCCAACAACCGTATCAACCTCAGCAACAGCAGTACCAGCAGGCACCGTACCAACCTCAATATCAACTACAAGCGCCTCGAAAAGCTGAGTGGGAAGTAGCCATTGAGAAAATGGCAGCCCAAAGTTCTCAATTTCAAGAAGAGACAAGGAGTAACTTCAGGAATGCTGGAGCATCCATAAAGAATCTTGAAGTACAAATGAGTCAAATTGCTCAACAGCTAGCGAGTTCACAAGCGCCGGGTACACTTCCAAGTGCCACAATACCAAATCTGAAGGATCACCACCAAATTAAGGCGGTAGTAACAAGAAGTGGAAAATCCAAGGAAGTAGGAGAAGAGGAAACAGAACTAAATGATCAGATGATTGAAGTGGAGCTGGAAATTAAAGAAAATGAAATAGTCGAGGAAGAAGTGGTGACACCGGTACCGGTAACTAAAGAGAAAGTGGTAGAACCGAAACCGGTGATCAAGCTGCCATACCCCTCAAGAAATAAAAAGAAAGGACAGCAAGAGAAGAATTTCGAGAAGTTCCTGGAGCTGTTTAAAAAGTTGGAGCTGAACATTCCGTTGTTGGAGGCACTAGAACAAATGCCCACCTATGCAAAATTCATGAAGGACACTATTGC